TCACACAAACCAACAAAATAATTTCTGATTCAACCGCATTAATTGATCAATCTAAACAGTTTTCGTTGAAACCTTCTGCTGCCAGGCCACCAAGATTATACGGCTTACCAAAAATACATAAAGTTGATACACCTCTTCGTCCCATAGTCTCTACTATCAGCTCCCCCACCTACAAACTAGCTCGTTTTTTGTCTGAAATCCTGCGTCCTTTCACTGGAAAGACCACCTCTGCGGTACAAAATTCTACTCACCTGGTATCAACAATCAAGGGTATTTCCCTGTCCCCAGACGACCTGCTTGTCAGTTTTGATGTAGTTTCCTTATTCACCAAGGTTCCTGTACCTGACACCATTGCAATCATTGAAGACTTGGTTCATCAAGGACTAAACACTGAGGTACCCCCCCTGGTGAGACACTGTTTAACCAATACATACTTCACTTGGAATGGAACTTTCTACAAACAAACTGAGGGCACCCCAATGGGCTCCCCCCTTTCTCCAGTTATAGCTAACATTTTCATGGAGAAATTTGAGACTGACGCCATCCAGACTGCCACTCTGCGCCCAACCTTATGGAAGAGGTACGTGGATGACACTTTTGTCATCTGGCCACATGGCCGGCCTGCTCTAGACCAATTCTTCGACCACATCAATTCCATACACCCAGCCATCAGATTTACCATGGAAGTCGAAATAGATGGCAAGATACCTTTTTTGGATGTCCTAATTAAAAAGAGACCTGATGGTTCAATGAGCCACTCTGTCTACAGGAAAGCTACCCATACGGATGCTTATCTGAAACCGGATTCCCACCACCATCCATCACAGAAGAATTCTCTCATCAAGACTCTGTATCATAGAGCCCAATGCATATCCGACCAGGAACACATAAGCAGTGAACTCAAGCACGTACACCAAGCTCTTAGGGCTAATGGTTACTCCGACTATACAATCCGCAAAGCTATCACTCAAACCATGAAGAAGAACCCTCTTGAGGAGCCTTTCAAAACCATCACTTTACCCTACATTGCTGGGATCACAAAAAAGATCTCCAAAATCTTGAATAAACACAAGATCCAGGTCCGTTTCAACACATTACATAAAATCCGTGATCTGGTTCCGTCTGTAAAAGATGTGATTCCGGACATACAATACCCTGGTGTCTACAAACTAAGTTGCCTCTGTGGTAGTAGTTACATTGGAGAAACCAAACGCCATATCTCGGACCGCATTCGTGAACATAAAGCAGACCTTAAACACGGTAGGACCAACACCTCGGCCGTAGCAGATCATTGTTCTAATTCAGTAGGCTCACATGCCATTGACTTTTCCAAGACGGAGGTTCTTTGTAAGCCATCTGGCTTCCATGAGAGATTCGTTCATGAGGCTATCCACATATACAAACACAGAGACAATTTCAACCGAGAAGATGGATTCTATCTTAGCAATCATTGGAAAGATTTGATCAATCATTTCAGTTCTTGATTGATTGTTCACGCTTACAGTGGCTTTCAGACAGCATACATAAAAACAAATTTCGTCTCCCCCCTCCTCTTTTCAAAAAATAGATGGACTAGTCCTGGCAAACAGCCAATCGTTGCGCGTGACGCAAACGTTATTTTTATATATAAATAAATAAATATGCCGTTTTCAAAATAAATTTATGCAAACCGACACACCTGATGATGACCGTTTGAGTTATGGTCGAAACGTCGTGAGAATTTTTTATTGTTTTATATATATTTTGTTATTTTGTTGTTTCTCTTCAACGTGACTTTACCGAAAAAACTAAGAATATGAATTACTGCAGTCACGAAAGCTTTAAATCAAAATTTAATCGCCTCTACGGGGAGGGTTTTCACATAACTTTAAGATCCTTCAACAAACTCCGGGATAAGAAAGCTCAGCTGATCGAGTCTCTCACCTTCCTGAAGAGATGCCGCGACTCTGGGGTAATACCAATCGCATTTACACTCACCTCTGCTACTGTAACTTCTTCTAATGCGAAACGAATTCTTTTCAAAACTAGCTTAGCTCTTATCTCAGAAAAGATCAGACTTATACGCACAGAACTAGATCAGTTAGACAAGACACTCTACAAATCACACTTATCATTGACGGCAATAATGTCCACATCGGATTGGGAACATGTAGACAATATGACTGCCTCTTCAGCTGCTACTATGTCGACCAAATGTAAGGAAAACCTGATTTCCAAATTTAACCTCCTTTTCAACAAAAGACCGGACCCACACACCAAAAAGTTAGACATTAATAAAGTCGTAATTAATCGCAGTAACAGTTCTATTTCCGATGGTCTGAAATCCGTTTTAGCTAAAGGTCTAAACTTTGCAGTCACACCTAAACACATACCAGTTAATGATATAATTGCCCAAGTAGACGTTGCTCTCAGGGGCCTGGGTCACATCGCTGCAGACGTAGCAAGATCTGAAATCGCTGCAACCCTCAAAAACGCTAAGATGCCAGCTAGCAACCTCAGCAAAGATGAGCGTTTTGAATTATATAAATTAAAAAAGAGGAATGATATTGTAGTTCTCTCAGCTGACAAAGGCAATGCTACTGTTATCATGGATAAAATAGAATACAACAACAAAATTAAAGAATTACTCGACGATGGTAGTTATACAAAAATAAAAAGAGATCCCACCAACAGCCTCGTCACACAAACCAACAAAATAATTTCTGATTCAACCGCATTAATTGATCAATCTAAACAGTTTTCGTTGAAACCTTCTGCTGCCAGGCCACCAAGATTATACGGCTTACCAAAAATACATAAAGTTGATACACCTCTTCGTCCCATAGTCTCTACTATCAGCTCCCCCACCTACAAACTAGCTCGTTTTTTGTCTGAAATCCTGCGTCCTTTCACTGGAAAGACCACCTCTGCGGTACAAAATTCTACTCACCTGGTATCAACAATCAAGGGTATTTCCCTGTCCCCAGACGACCTGCTTGTCAGTTTTGATGTAGTTTCCTTATTCACCAAGGTTCCTGTACCTGACACCATTGCAATCATTGAAGACTTGGTTCATCAAGGACTAAACACTGAGGTACCCCCCCTGGTGAGACACTGTTTAACCAATACATACTTCACTTGGAATGGAACTTTCTACAAACAAACTGAGGGCACCCCAATGGGCTCCCCCCTTTCTCCAGTTATAGCTAACATTTTCATGGAGAAATTTGAGACTGACGCCATCCAGACTGCCACTCTGCGCCCAACCTTATGGAAGAGGTACGTGGATGACACTTTTGTCATCTGGCCACATGGCCGGCCTGCTCTAGACCAATTCTTCGACCACATCAATTCCATACACCCAGCCATCAGATTTACCATGGAAGTCGAAATAGATGGCAAGATACCTTTTTTGGATGTCCTAATTAAAAAGAGACCTGATGGTTCAATGAGCCACTCTGTCTACAGGAAAGCTACCCATACGGATGCTTATCTGAAACCGGATTCCCACCACCATCCATCACAGAAGAATTCTCTCATCAAGACTCTGTATCATAGAGCCCAATGCATATCCGACCAGGAACACATAAGCAGTGAACTCAAGCACGTACACCAAGCTCTTAGGGCTAATGGTTACTCCGACTATACAATCCGCAAAGCTATCACTCAAACCATGAAGAAGAACCCTCTTGAGGAGCCTTTCAAAACCATCACTTTACCCTACATTGCTGGGATCACAAAAAAGATCTCCAAAATCTTGAATAAACACAAGATCCAGGTCCGTTTCAACACATTACATAAAATCCGTGATCTGGTTCCGTCTGTAAAAGATGTGATTCCGGACATACAATACCCTGGTGTCTACAAACTAAGTTGCCTCTGTGGTAGTAGTTACATAGGAGAAACCAAACGCCATATCTCGGACCGCATTCGTGAACATAAAGCAGACCTTAAACACGGTAGGACCAACACCTCGGCCGTAGCAGATCATTGTTCTAATTCAGTAGGCTCACATGCCATTGACTTTTCCAAGACGGAGGTTCTTTGTAAGCCATCTGGCTTCCATGAGAGATTCGTTCATGAGGCTATCCACATATACAAACACAGAGACAATTTCAACCGAGAAGATGGATTCTATCTTAGCAATCATTGGAAAGATTTGATCAATCATTTCAGTTCTTGATTGATTGTTCACGCTTACAGTGGCTTTCAGACAGCATACATAAAAACAAATTTCGTCTCCCCCCTCCTCTTTCAAAAAATAGATGGACTAGTCCTGGCAAACAGCCAATCGTTGCGCGTGACGCAAACGTTATTTTTATATATAAATAAATAAATATGCCGTTTTCAAAATAAATTTATGCAAACCGACACACCTGATGATGACCGTTTGAGTTATGGTCGAAACGTCGTGAGAATTTTTTATTGTTTTATATATATTTTGTTATTTTGTTGTTTCTCTTCAACGTGACTTTACCGAAAAAACTAAGAATATGAATTACTGCAGTCACGAAAGCTTTAAATCAAAAATTCATTAACTTGTTGTTCAGAAGCGACCTGGCCACCGTCACAAATGATAGCAAGCTCAACAAATTGGCTCTGATCATTTGGACGTTTATATATTTCGATATTTTATATATTTCAATATAAGCGTGGAGGGAAAAACCGGAGGACCCAGAGAAAAATCCACGCGATCACGGCGAGAGAGAGAGAGAGACGCAAACTCCAAATACACAGGAGGCGTCAGGGGTCGGGATCTAACCTACGACCTCCTGTATACCAGGCGAGGTAGTTAACATCTCCTAGCCACCGTGATGATGATGATGAGAGAGAGACACGCAAACTCCAAATATACAGCAGCAGCAGGCGTCAGGGGTCGGGATCGAACCTACAACCTCCTGTACACCAGGCGAGGTAAACAACATCTCGCCATGCTGAGGTCAAGCGGCGTGTGACCTCGTTGGGCGCATCGGAGAAGCGGGGTGTGGGTGGGGGGGCCACCACCACCACCACCAACTCACCTCACGGTCTCCACTTGAGCCTCTGTGGGGAATGGAGAGGGAGGGAGGGGAAAAAAAGAGAGCACGTTGATTTTGTTGCACAATGGTAAAGCACGGTAAAGCTTTCATTTTACAAGAGGTGGGGGGGGAGTGGGGGGGGTCCCTCACTCGTCTTCTTGTTGGCCTTGGGCGGCGGGCTCTTTTTCTGCTTGCGCTTCCGTCGGCACATGAGGATGAGCAGCAGCAGCAGCAGGAGCAGCAGCAGGCCGCCCACTCCGCCCACCACGCCGCCGATGATGGCCGAGCGCGTCGCAGGCCACGGGTCCTCTGTGACGCGGGGGGGGAGGGGGGAGGTAGGGGGGGTGAACGCGAGTTAGTAAGGAAGTCTTACTGGTGTTGGGAAACACGAGTTAGTAAGTCTTAGTAAGTCTTACTGTGTTTGTCAAGGGGTGCCTCTGTGGATGTGTATGCTTTAACTGTAACATAGCCATTTCTGTGACCAGTCACAAGCTAATCACTCAGCTATTTCAATGCTAAATTCTATGCTAATTCCTTTGTCAAGGCGCTTTGTTTCTTCTCACACAGCTTAAAGGTCACGATCTGAGCGTGGCTGTGTTCGCTCCAGCGCTGTCCTCCAGACAGTCTCGTCCCTTCACCTGATGAAGGCCGCTTGTGTTGTGGCCGAAACGTCGTGAGAATTTTATTGTGTTATTTTATTTTATCAATTTATTATTTTATTCTCATTCTACGTGACTTTACCGAAAGAACCAAAGAAGAGAAACACAAGTTAGTAAGCCTTACTGTGTATAGAGAAACACAAGTTAGTAAGTCTTACTAGTGTAGAGAAACACACAAGTTAGTAAGTCTTACTGATGTAGATAAACACAAGTTAGTAAGTCTTACTGGTGTAGAGAAACACAAGTTAGTAAGTCTTACTAGTGTGTAGAGAAACACAAGTTAGTAAGTCTTACTGGTGTAGAGAAACACAAGTTAGTAAGTCTTACTGGTGTAGATAAACACAAGTTAGTAAGTCTTACTGGTGTAGAGAAACACAAGTTAGTAAGTCTTACTAGTGTGTAGAGAAACACAAGTTAGTAAGTCTTACTGGTGTAGAGAAACACAAGTTAGTAAGTCTCACTAGTGTAGAGAAACACAAGTTAGTAAGTTTTACTGTGTATAGAGAAACACAAGTTAGTAAGTCTTACTAGTGTGTAGAGAAACACAAGTTAGTAAGTCTTACTAGTGTGTAGAGAAACACAAGTTAGTAAGTCTTACTGTGTGTAGAGAAACACAAGTTAGTAAGTCTTACTGGTGTACAGAAACACAAGTTAGTATGTCTTACTAGTGTGTGGAGAAACACAAGTTAGTAAGTCTTACTAGTGTGTAGAGAAACACAAATTAGTAAGTCTTACTGTGTGTAGAGAAACACAAGTTAGTAAGTCTTACTGGTGTAGAGAAACACAAGTTAGTAAGTCTTACTGGTGTGTAGAGAAACACAAGTTAGTAAGTCTTACTGGTGTAGAGAAACACAAGTTAGTAAGTCTTACTAGTGTGTAGAGAAACACAAGTTAGTAAGTCTTACTGTGTGTAGCGAAACACAAGTTAGTAAGTCTTACTAGTGTGTAGAGAAACACAAATTAGTAAGTCTTACTGTGTGTAGAGAAACACAAGTTAGTAAGTCTTACTAGTGTGTAGAGAAACACAAGTTAGTAAGTCTTACTAGTGTGTAGAGAAACACAAGTTAGTAAGTCTTACTGGTGTAGAGAAACACAAGTTAGTAAGTTTTACTTATGTGTGGGGAAACATAAGTTAGTAAGTCTTACTGTGTGTGGAGAAACACAAGTTAATAAGTCTTACTAGTGTAGAGAAACACAAGTTAGTAAGTCTTACTGTGTGTAGAGAAACGCAAGTTAGTAAGTCTTACTGGTGTAGAGAAACACAAGTTAGTAAGACTTACTAGTGTGTAGAGAAACACAAGTTAGTAAGTCTTACTGGTGTAGAGAAACACAAGTTAGTAAGTCTTACTAGTGTAGAGAAACACAAGTTAGTAAGCCTTACTGTGTATAGAGAAACACAAGTTAGTAAGTCTTACTAGTGTGTAGAGAAACACAAGTTAGTAAGTCTTACTAGTGTGTAGAGAAACACAAGTTAGTAAGTCTTACTGTGTGTAGAGAAACACAAGTTAGTAAGTCTTACTGGTGTACAGAAACACAAGTTAGTATGTCTTACTAGTGTGTGGAGAAACACAAGTTAGTAAGTCTTACTAGTGTGTAGAGAAACACAAATTAGTAAGTCTTACTGTGTGTAGAGAAACACAAGTTAGTAAGTCTTACTGGTGTAGAGAAACACAAGTTAGTAAGTCTTACTGGTGTGTAGAGAAACACAAGTTAGTAAGTCTTACTGGTGTAGAGAAACACAAGTTAGTAAGTCTTACTGGTGTGTAGAAAAACACAAGTTAGTAAGTCTCACTGTGTGTAGAGAAACACAAGTTAGTAAGTCTTACTTGTGTAGAGAAACACAAGTTAGTAAATCTTACTAGTGTAGAGAAACACAAGTTAGTAAGTCTTACTGGTGTGTAGAGAAACACAAGTTATTAAGTCTTACTAGTGTGTAGAGAAACACAAGTTAGTAAGTCTTACTGTGTGTAGAGAAACACAAGTTAGTAAGTCTTACTAGTGTAGAGAAACACAAGTTAGTAAGTCTTACTAGTGTAGAGAAACACACGTTAGTAAGTCTTACTGGTGTGTAGAGAAACACAAGTTAGTAAGTCTTACTGTGTGTAGAGAAACACAAGTTAGTAAGTCTTACTAGTGTGTAGAGAAACACAAGTTAGTAAGTCTTACTGGTGTAGAGAAACACAAGTTAGTAAGTCTTACTAGTGTGTAGAGAAACATAAGTTAGTAAGTCTTACTGTGTGTAGAGAAACACAAGTTAGTAAGTCTTACTGGTGTGTAGAGAAACACAAGTTAGTAAGTCTTACTACTGTGTAGAGAAACACAAGTTAGTAAGTCTTACTGTGTGTAGAGAAACACAAGTTAGTAAGTCTTACTGGTGTGCAGAGAAACACAAGTTAGTAAGTCTTACTAGTGTGTAGAGAAACACAAGTTAGTAAGTCTTACTGTGTGTAGAGAAACACAAGTTAGTAAGTCTTACTAGTGTAGAGAAACACAAGTTAGTAAGTTTTACTGTGTGTATAGAAACACAAGTTAGTAAGTCTTACTAGTATGTAGAGAAACACAAGTTAGTAAGTCTTACTGGTGTAGAGAAACACAAGTTAGTAAGTCTTACTAGTGTAGAGAAACACAAGTTAGTAAGTCTTACTGTGTGTAGAGAAACACAAGTTAGTAAGTCTTACTGGTGTGTAGAGAAACACAAGTTAGTAAGTCTTACTAGTGTGTAGAGAAACACAAGTTAGTAAGTCTTACTGTGTGTAGAGAAACACAAGTTAGTAAGTCTTACTGGTGTAAATAAACACAAGTTAGTAAGTCTTACTAGTGTGTAGAGAAACACAAGTTAGTAAGTCTTACTAGTATGTAGAGAAACACAAGTTAGTAAGTCTTACTAGTGTGTAGAGAAACACAAGTTAGTAAGTCTTACTGGTGTAGAGAAACACAAGTTAGTAAGTCTTACTGGTGTGTAGAGAAACACAAGTTAGTAAGTCTTACTAGTGTGTAGAGAAAGACAAGTTAGTAAGTCTTACTGGTGTAGAGAAACACAAGTTAGTAAGTCTTACTAGTGTGTAGAGAAACACGAGTTAGTAAGTCTTACTAGTGTGTAGAGAAACACAAGTTAGTAAGTCTTACTGGTGTGTGAAGAAACACAAGTTAGTAAGTTTTACTGTGTGTAGAGAAACACAAGTGAGTAAGTCTTACTAGTGTGTAGAGAAACACAAGTTAGTAAGTCTTACTGGTGTAGAGAAACACAAGTTAGTAAGTTTTACTAGTGTGTAGAAAAACACAAGTTAGTATGTCTTACTGGTGTAGAGAAACACAAGTTAGTATGTCTTACTGGTGTGTAGAGAAACAAGATAGTAAGTCTTACTAGTGTAGATAAACACAAGTTAGTAAGTCTTACTAGTGTGTAGAGAAACACAAGTTAGTAGGTCTTACTGTGTGTAGAGAAACACAAGTTAGTAAGTCTTACTGGTGTGTAGAGAAACACAAGTTAGTAAGTCTTACTGGTGTAGAGAAACACAAGTTAGTAAGTCTTACTGGTGTAGAGAAACACAAGTTAGTAAGTATTACTAGTGTGTAGAGAAACACAAGTTAGTAAGTCTTACTAGTGTAGAGAAACACAAGTTAGTAAGTCTTACTGGTGTAGAGAAACACAAGTTAGTAAGTCTTACTAGTGCGTAGAGAAACACAAGTTAGTAAGTCTTACTGTGTGTAGAGAAACACAAGTTAGTAAGTCTTACTGGTGTAAATAAACACAAGTTAGTAAGTCTTACTAGTGTGTAGAGAAACACAAGTTAGTAAGTCTTACTAGTATGTAGAGAAACACAAGTTAGTAAGTCTTACTAGTGTGTAGAGAAACACAAGTTAGTAAGTCTTACTGGTGTAGAGAAACACAAGTTAGTAAGTCTTACTGGTGTGTAGAGAAACACAAGTTAGTAAGTCTTACTAGTGTGTAGAGAAAGACAAGTTAGTAAGTCTTACTGGTGTAGAGAAACACAAGTTAGTAAGTCTTACTAGTGTGTAGAGAAACACGAGTTAGTAAGTCTTACTAGTGTGTAGAGAAACACAAGTTAGTAAGTCTTACTGGTGTGTGAAGAAACACAAGTTAGTAAGTTTTACTGTGTGTAGAGAAACACAAGTGAGTAAGTCTTACTAGTGTGTAGAGAAACACAAGTTAGTAAGTCTTACTGGTGTAGAGAAACACAAGTTAGTAAGTTTTACTAGTGTGTAGAAAAACACAAGTTAGTATGTCTTACTGGTGTAGAGAAACACAAGTTAGTATGTCTTACTGGTGTGTAGAAAAACAAGATAGTAAGTCTTACTAGTGTAGATAAACACAAGTTAGTAAGTCTTACTAGTGTGTAGAGAAACACAAGTTAGTAAGTCTTACTGTGTGTAGAGAAACACAAGTTAGTAAGTCTTACTGGTGTGTAGAGAAACACAAGTTAGTAAGTCTTACTGGTGTAGAGAAACACAAGTTAGTAAGTCTTACTGGTGTAGAGAAACACAAGTTAGTAAGTATTACTAGTGTGTAGAGAAACACAAGTTAGTAAGTCTTACTAGTGTAGAGAAACACAAGTTAGTAAGTCTTACTGGTGTAGAGAAACACAAGTTAGTAAGTCTTACTAGTGCGTAGAGAAACACAAGTTAGTAAGTCTTACTAGTGTAGAGAAACACAAGTTAGTAAGTCTTACTGGTGTAGAGAAACACAAGTTACTAAGTCTTACTGGTGTGTGGGGAAACACAAGTTAGTAAGTCTTACTGGTGTGTAGAAAAACACAAGTTAGTAAGTCTTACTGGTGTGTAGAGAAACACAAGTTAGTAAGTCTTACTGTGTGTAGATAAACACAAGTTAGTAAGTCTTACTGTGTGTAGAGAAACACAAGTTAGTAAGTCTTCCTGTGCGTAGAGAAACACAAGTTAGTATGTCTTACTGTGTGTAGAGAAACACAAGTTAGTAAGTCTTACTAGTGTGTAGAGAAACACAAGTTAGTAAGTCTTACTGTGTGTAGAGAAACACAAGTTAGTAAGTCTTACTGGTGTACAGAAACACAAGTTAGTATGTCTTACTAGTGTGTAGAGAACACAAGTTAGTAAGTCTTACTGGTGTGTAGAGAAACACAAGTTAGTAAGTCTTACTGTGTGTAGAGAAACACAAGTTAGTAAGTCTTACTGGTGTGTAGAGAAACACAAGTTAGTAAGTCTTACTGTGTGTAGAGAAACACAAGTTAGTAAGTCTTACTAGTGTGTAGAGAAACACAAGTTAGTAAGTCTTACTGTGTGTAGAGAAACACAAGTTAGTAAGTCTTACTGTGTGTAGAGAAACACAAGTTAGTAAGTCTTACTGTGTGTAGAGAAACACAAGTTAGTAAGTCTTACTAGTGTAGAGAAACACAAGTTAGTAAGTCTTACTGTGTGTAGAGAAACACAAGTTAGTAAGTCTTACTAGTGTGGAGAAACACAAGTTAGTAAGTCTTACTGGTGTGTAGAGAAACACAAGTTAGTAAGTCTTACTGTGTGTAGAGAAACACAAGTTAGTAAGTCTTACTAGTGTGTAGAGAAACACAAATTAGTAAGTCTTACTGTGTGTAGAGAAACACAAGTTAGTAAGTCTTACTGTGTGTAGAGAAACACAAGTTAGTAAGTCTTACTGGTGTGGGGAAACACAAATTAGTAAGTCAAGTGCATTTCTAATCTTGCACTCGCACGAGCCCAGTCTGTCACGAATGTGCACCGATCACATGTACTTAGTGAGCTCTTTGGAACGACACCGTTTTAAATGATCTTGCACAACTGGCTCCTCAGGCTCAGGCTCAGGCACGGATTCCCTGTGATGTGAGCTTGCTTACTCCTTCCAGGTCTTACAGGGACAGCGCTGATGGCATCGCCCCTACTGGGCATCTGTGAATAAGAGCCTCAAAGCTCATCGGACTTCTACAGTATAAATAAATGTTATGATCCTGGTACTTGGTTCGCACGCGGCTGGCAACGGCAAATCGCCGTGGGCTGAGAACTGACGTGGGTCTGCTGAGGCCCGGTGCACGTCGACCAGCAAGATAGGACGGAGCAGACAAATGCATAACTCCTGGAGACGAGTCGCCATGGTTTAACAGACAGCTGCTTTAGCTCGTCTCACATCGAGGTCGAGATGAGATCATGCATCCAGAAGTATCACATGAGCTGTGGCGGTGAGCACCGCATAGTCTGTGACAGGGCAATTAGGGCAAGTGCCGTTGGCGAGGAGTGGTTAGCGCCTTGTACACACACACCACACCCAGACAAAGGTCCCCCCATGTAACCTTTAACAGGGCGGTTAGTGTGGCAAGTTCTGAAAGTCTGAAGCGTAAATAAAAGTTTCTTTCAAAACGTGCAACAAAAAGGTATAAAATATATGTAAAAAAAAATGCGTAACGAAAATATCTAAAAGCCCACAAAGTAACTTGGGAGCCAAATTCCACAGGCCAAACGTAGAAAATCTCGAGAAAACGCTTATCCATCTCTTCCACCAGACCGGAGATAAAAAAAAAGTGTGGCTAACAAAGACACACGCTGGCGTAACCGCAGGTCAACGATGGCAACCGTCCAACCAAAATAAACTGCGCTGCAGACCTGTCAGGGCGATAGACGCGCTAGACTGCGGTCCCGTGCACGGCATCGCCGTGAACTTGTAGCTCCCCCTGTCCTGCACTTGCGACAGCTTGATGCGCAGGGACCCATTGGCGTAGGCCGCAGTCCGACCGACGTAGTTGTTTCCTTCGGAAAACTCCTGCGGCTCCGCTCCGCTCCCCGGCAGGATCCAGCTCGCCACCGTCTGCACGCCGAACGTCCACGAGACGTTGGCCTTGCCGAAGAAGGCATAGCTCAAGGACAGCGTGGAGTCGAGGCCAGGCGTCGAGATAATAGAGGTGCTGGGCACGGTCAGGGACGCCACGCCGCTGGTCGTCGCGCCTGCAGAGCAGTCGGGAGAGCGGTGGTGATGACGCGGTTCTGGATGTTCACATCAATGGCGCCATTTTGTTTTCAGGGTAGCCATTTTGTTATTTTTCCAGTGATGCCATTTTTTGGGTTTTCATGACCCCCGTTTTTTTATTTTTAATGTTTGAGTTTTGGCTCATTGTCAAGTTTCCCCCCAGGGCTGCGACGATGTGAATCTAAGTTGTGGAGGGAATTATAGATGTGCAGGGAAGTCTGGATGTGGATGCGGGGCTACCTGAGCAGAAGGGTGGGGCCTACCCGAGTGGTGGCTGGGGTTGTGACGTCGCTCATGCTCAGCACATGGAGGTCCGCTCGCTTCTTCCTTGGGGGGCTGGTGGGTTGAGTGGGCATGGCTATATAGACCTCAGGGAGGGAGCGGCTGCCAGCCCACCACGAGTCCTCAGCTGAGCCTCGCAAGACATTGGCAGGTCTCAATAAATTGCACGCTAGACTCTACTGGGAAGAGACAGTTGAATTCCCACAAAATTGCCCCCCTGTTGCGATTCACCCGTACGAAGAGGCGCTCGGTGGATTGACACATTGAGGGATCGTGAGAAACAGCGATGGCCTGGGAGGATAGGCCATCATCCAGCAGTGGATTGACCGTGGCCGACAGTGACTGGACGATGCCGCCGCTGCTGCTGCCGCCCCCAGGTACAATGGCTTTCCGCGTTTATCCGGTTTCTGAATACGCCGGGGTACTTTTCATCATCGCGAATCAGGGGCAAGGGGGGACCTCTCAATAAAATTTGGTGGAGGGGGTGGTGGTGGTGGTGGTGGTAGTAATGGTGGGGGGGGGGGGGAGGGGAGAAGTGGTGGTGGTGGAGGGAAAGTGGGACTTCTTCTCTGTCCATCTCTCTCCATCCCTTTACTCACATTCGAGCTCCAGCAGCACGGGCGCGCTCGTCCTATTGCTCACTGGGTTCACCGCACGGCACGAGTAACTGCCGCGGTGGCTGAATGTCAAGTTGCCGATGGTGTAGTCCGCGTGGTCGGGGCTCGCGGCAGCGGGCGCGAGCGTGGCGAGGAGGTCGCCATACTTATAGAAGGAGAACACGAGGCCGGCGCCGCTGGCGACGCTCGCTGCCGAGCACCGCAGGGTGGCGCTGCCGCCAAGTTTGGGCGGCGAGGGCGGAAGCAGTTGCAGCGTCGCGTTGGCGATGACCTCTACGCGGAGTCGTGTGGTGGTGGCGGTGGGTGGGGGGGGGGGGGGGCGGAGGGGGTGATGGGGGAGGAGATTGATGGATAAGTTTAAGCGGTGAGGTGGCGAGGCACGAAGGGAGGGGGGGTGGGGAGGTTTCACAATGGCCGCGTCGGAAGCACTGGCAGACACGGTTGGGGGTCATGGGTTCGAGACTTGGGTCCGGCTGTGCGAGTGTTTGCTAAAATGCGGCGAGTTGGCACAGTAGGGGGTACAGCTTGGTGCATCTGCCGGTTATCTCAGTCAGCGGACCCATGGCACCTGCTGGGTCTGTCCCGAGATCTCCTGTCAGAGCCTTCGACACTTCACGTGGCCTCAAAGTGCACCGGGCCTGGCACAGGCGTCGTGGTGACATCACCATCACTTAGTGGCAAATGGTGGGTATTGGTATTGGTCTGTTTAACACGTAGGCTTTCGCAACCAAGACCATCCATAATAGAGGGTTTTTAGGGTTAGATCGCCACGTAAATATATGTGTCGTTAAAATCCGCCACCACCCGACACAGCCAATTACCAAGGGTTATCACATAAACAGAACATGCCAATTCGTCACTAGTACAGCACCAGTGTGTAGTGTATCGTGGAGTGTATAATGTAGTGTATAGTGTACTATATATAGTGTAGTGTATAGTGTAGTGTATAGTGTAGTGTATAGTGTAGTGTATAGTGTAGTGTATAGTGTAGTGTATAGTGTAGTGTATACTAGTACAGCACACCGGTTGTGTGTTGGAGAACCAAGCCACAACATTTACAAACTGAGTACGACGTTTCGCCAGTAATTACAACCAGCTTCATCAGGCGGCGGCCAGATTTGTGGAGAAGTCCACCTGTTTCGTTCCTTATATAGAGGCGTAGACGTGGTGACCACCCTTCTGCGCTCTTGTGCAAAGTTGGGGGGGGGGGGGGGTGGGGAGGATTAATGAACGCATGTGCATTATGCGAGCCCTTTGATCTTGTCCTTCCGGTCCATTAGGTGTATTAAAATAGCCGTACCAACGGTAATCCCCAGTGAAGTAAACATTAAATAATTTTCACCGTTTGGATAGCTACCACCTTAGTGCTGCTTGGAAGCAAATCATCAAGTAATACATTGTTTAAATGCATGCCTATAAAGGGCACCATACTTCAAGGAAGGACAAGATCAAAACCGATTGCATAATGCACGTTGACTCATTAAAATCCCCCCACGTTGCACAAGAGCACAGAAGTGTGGTCACCACATCTAACCTGTCCATCGCCTGATGAAGCTAGTTGTAATTACTGGCGAAACGTCGTACTTAAGATTGTAAATGTTGTGGCTGGGATCTAAAACACACCGGTTGTGCCGTACTAGCGACGAATTGGCCACGTTCTGTTTACGTAACAACCCCTTACTAGTTGGCTGTGTCGGGTGGTGGCGGGTTTTAACGATGCATTCATTTATTTAAGTGTCAATCTAACCCAAAAAACCTCTTATGGATGGTATTGGTCTCTTCACAGGTGCTGCTCACTAACACCGCTTGCCCCAACCGTCTGTTAAAGGCTATATGGCGGATCTTTGACCTCCGGTTTTTCCCCTCCTCATTTAGAATCGACGTGCGTTATATTCAGAGTATGCGGTTGCTGCTGCTGCAAAATATTTCCATGTGATGATGACGGCGATGACGACGATGACGACGATGAGCCCCGCTTCCTTGACCCATCATCATTTGCAATAGCGAGGTCGCTTCTGAAAAAATAAGAGCTTCATAGCTCAGTGGGGGCCTGACGCTGGGTAAAATAAAAAAAATAAAAAGTTTTAGTTTCACTCTCAGTTTCTGGATGGCGGCGCTCTCCTTTCGTCCGTAATGCCGCCGTTTCTAGCTTCTCTTTCAGCCTCCTCTTGGGATTGAGCGACGCCTTCCCCGACGACCTCTGACCTCCGAGCCGCCTGAGCCACCAGGCCGTCTGCTCCACGGGTCTTCCACAGGGGGCAGATGCCTCGACTTTGACGACCTCGTCTCATTTTGCCCCTCACAGAGAGCGCCTTCGCGGCTCAAGGCGCGCTCCTGCTCAGACGGAGTTTGAAGGCGGGGAATGGAAATTGAGCGGTTTGGATAGCCCCGGGCACCGGGGAAAGGTGGGGGACTGAGGAGTGAGTGACCGTAACACTAGGAGCACACACGGGAGGGCGGGGGGGGGTCACGGAAGGGGCTATATGGGAGGGTCGAGATGAAGTGGAGGGGCGAGGGGGAGAGGAGAGAGGAAGGAGAATGGGCGATGATAGAGAAGAGCCGAGGCTTTCAGAAAGGTACGGAAGGAGGGTATATGAGTGCTCAATGTACAGGGGCACTGCTGAGTCTATGGGCAGTGCTGAGTCTATGGGCAGTGTTGAGTCTATGGTGCAGTGTTGAATCTATGGTGCAGTGTTGAGTCTATGGTGCAGTGTTGAGTCTATGGTGCAGTGTTGAGTCTATGGTGCAGTGTTGAGTCTATGGGCAGTGTTGAGTCTCTGGGCAGTGTTGAGTCTATGGTGCACTGTTGAGTCTATGGGCGGTGTTGAGTCTATGGTGCACTGTTGCGTCTATGGGCGGTGTTGAGTCTATGGTGCAGTGTTGAGTCTATGGTGCAGTGTTGAGTCTATGGGCAGTGCTAAGTCTATGGTGCAGTGTTCAGTCTATGGGCAGTGTTGAGTCTATGGTGCAGTGTTCAGTCTATGGGCAGTGTTGAGTCTATGGGCAGTGTTGAGTCTCTGGGCAGTGTTGAGACTATGGTGCAGTGTTGAGTCTATGGTGCAGTGTTGAGTCTATGGTGCAGTGTTGAGTCTATGGTGCAGTGCTGAGTCAATGGGCAGTGTTGAGTCTATGGTGCAGTGTTGAGTCTATGGGCAGTGTTGAGTCTATGGGCAGTGTTGAGTCTATGGGCAGTGTTCAGTCTATGGTGCAGTGTTCAGTCTTTGGGCAGTGTTGAGTCTATGGTGCAGTGTTGAGTCTATGGGCAGTGTTGAGTCTATGGTGCAGTGTTGAGTCTATGGTGCAGTGTTGAGTCTATGGGCAGTGTTGAGTCTACGGTGCAGTGTTGAGTCTATGGTGCAGTGTTGAGTCTATGGGTAGTGTTGAGTCTATGGGTAGTGTTCAGTCTATGGGCAGTGTTGAGTCTATGGTGCAGTGTTGAGTCTATGGTGCAGTGTTGAGTCTATGGTGCAGTGTTGAGTCTCTGGGCAGTGTTGAGTCTCTGGGCAGTGCTGAGTCTATGGGCAGTGCTGAGTCTCTGGGCAGTGTTGAGTCTATGGTGCAGTGTTGAGTCTATGGTGCAGTGTTGAGTCTATGGTGCAGTGCTGAGTCTATGGGCAGTTTTGAGTGTATGGGCAGTGCTGAGTCTATGGTGCAGTGTTGAGTCTCTGGGCAGTGTTGAGTCTATGGTGCAGTGTTGAGTCTATGGGTAGTGTTGAGTCTATGGGTAGTGTTGAGTCTATGGTGCAGTGTTGAGTCTATGGGCAGTGTTGAGTCTATGGTGCAGTGTTGAGTCTATGGGCAGTGTTGAGTCTCTGGGCAGTGTTGAGTCTCTGGGCAGTGCTGAGTCTCTGGGCAGTGTTGAGTCTATGGTGCAGTGCTGAGTCTATGGGCAGTGTTGAGTCTATGGTGCAGTATTGAGTCTGTGGTGCAGTGTTGAGTCTATGGTGCAGTGCTGAGTCAATGGGCAGTGTTGAGTCTATGGTGCAGTGTTGAGTCTATGGGCAGTGCTAAGTCTATGGTGCAGTGTTGAGTCTATGGTCCAGTGTTGAGTCTATGGGCAGTGCTGAGTCTATGGTGCAGTGTTGAGTCTATGGGTAGTGTTGAGTCTATGGTTAGTGTTGAGTCTATAGTGCAGTGCTGAGTCTATGGTGCAGTGTTGAGTCTATGGGCAGTGTTGAGTCTATGGTGCAGTGTTGAGTCTATGGGCAGTGTTGAGTCTATGGTGCAGTGTTGAGTCTATGGGCAGTGTTGAGTCTATGGGCAGTGTTGAGTCTATGGGCAGTGTTGAGTCTATGGTGCAGTGTTGAGTCTCTGGGCAGTGTTGAGTCTATGGTGCAGTGTTGAGTCTATGGGTAGTGTTGAGTCTATGGGTAGTGTTGAGTCTATGGTGCAGTGTTGAGTTTATGGGCAGTGTTGAGTCTATGGTGCAGTGTTGAGTCTATGGTGCAGTGTTGAGTCTCTGGGCAGTGTTGAGTCTCTGGGCAGTGTTGAGTCTCTGGGCAGTGTTGAGTCTCTGGGCAGTGTTGAGTCTCTGGGCAGTGTTGAGTCTCTGGGCAGTGTTGAGTCTATGGGCAGTGCTGAGTCTCTGGGCAGTGTTGAGTCTATGGTGCAGTGTTGAGGCTATGGTGCAGTGTTGAGTCTATGGTGCAGTGTTGAGTCTATGGTGCAGTGTTGAGTCTATGGTGCAGTATTGAGTCTATGAGCAGTGTTGAGTGTATGGGCAGTGCTAAGTTTATGCGCAGTGTTGAGTCTCTGGGCAGTGTAGAGTCTGTGGGGCAGTGTAGAGTCTGTGGGGCAGTGTTGAGTCTATGGTGCAGTGTTGAGTCTATGGTGCAGTGTTGAGTCTATGGTGCAGTGCTGAGTCTATGGGCAGTGTTGAGTCTATGGTGCAGTGTTGAGTCTTTGATGCAGTGTTGAGTCTGTGGTGCAGTGTTGAATCTATGGGCAGTGCTAAGTCTATGGTGCAGTGTTGAGTCTTTGGGTAGTGTTGAGTCTATGGTGCAGTGTTGAGTCTATGGGCAGTGTTGAGTCTATGGTGCAGTGTTGAGTCTATGGGCAGTGTTGAGTCTATGGGCAGTGCTGAATCTATGGGCAGTGATGAGTCTATGGTGCAGTGCTGAGTCTATGGGCAGTGTTGCGTCTATGAGCAGTGTTGAGTCTATGGGCAGTGTTGAGTCTATGGGCAGTGCTGAGTATCAATCCATATGGCTTACCCCGTATTCTTGTACAGGGAAATTAAGCTTTCAAGTCCATACAGCGTACATCCGTTTCAATACGGGCAAAAAAATAATATTTGTTCTTGTTTGTGACGGGACTTTGTAGGGTGAACGTTGAGATGCATAAGTGGCACAGCGTTCCCAATAAGGTCTGAATTGGTCTGTATTAAGGTAGGAGGGCACTGATAATGGGTTGGCAGGAATGGCATTGCGATGCTGCTGGATGCTGCTGGATGCTGCTGGATGCTGCTGGATGTTCGGATCCTGCATGCGGGTTGGACGCCAGTTGGAGGTTTAGATTCCTGAAAGGGGGACCCCGTCGTGTTACTGCGTAGGTTTGTTGTTGTTGTTGTTGGTTGTTGTTGTTCCATGGCCGTGCCGAACTTTATTCCTGTTTGTGTCCAGTTCCCGAAGAGGCGCCACGGTTTTCCAGGAGACGTTAGCTCCCTCGCTTTGTAGACAGGAGGTCGTGGGTTCGATCCCGACCCCGACGCCCTCCCGTATATTCGCACACTTTTAGAATCGGCATCACCACCGGTTCAGAGTATTTTGCTGCTGCTGCAATAATTTTACACCTGTTGATGATGATGATGATGATAAGCCGCCCACTTCATCGAGCTATCGTTTCTGATGGCCAAGCCCCTTCTGAACAAAGCGCTACAAAAGCAGCTCAGTGGGGCCTTACCTGGCAACAAATAAAACACCGTTATAGCGGCGGCGGCGGCGGCGGCGGCGTCAGCAATAAGCTTCGAGAGCAGCGCGCGGCGAAACTTCGGACGTCAACGATCCAAATCACACGCCAGGGCATCAACGACACGCGAGAACCGGCGGCGAGGCACAGGGCGGCGAGGAATTACGATTCGCCGATTCGGGTGTAGCGGGGGGCAAGGGGAGTGAGGGGGGGGGGGTGATGATTTAGAGCGCAGCTGCGTTTTATGGAAGACCGAAGACTTTGGGACGGGAGGAAACTTGATGTTAGTCCGTGGTTTCTTGGGAAACACGTGAGCACACGCACACGCACACGCCGACGAATATTCCGTCGTGAAGCCTTAACAGACTGTTTGGGGGCTAGCGCCGTTAGCGAGAAGTAGCGCCTGTGAAGGCGGGCAGGGCACACGAGGGGTCGGTGATGTTTAAACGCTGCACCGGGTACTCGTTTGAGGCTGAGTCGACCTAGGGGAGGCACAGGACCGGTTCAGATAAATCGGTGGCCGTGAGCGGGAATCGAACTCGGGTCGCCGGGTTCGGTAGCGCAACGGCGCGCTAACCGCTGCGCCACCGCTCCCCAGACGTGCGCACACAACAACAACAACAACGACGCTCGCCACTAAAGTGGCGGTGACGTCACCACAGCGCCTGTCCCAGGCGAATTGTACTTTGAGGCCACGTGAAGTGTCGAAGGCTCACTGACAGGAGGTCACGGGGACAGGCACATACACAGACACACGCATGCACACATAACAATCGGCGTTGGCCCATCATTTTGCTAGCCCAGCAGCCGTGCCAGGCTCCGAAGCCGCGTGGAGCGAGCGACAGCGGTAGTGACAGCTGAGTGCGGTGGGGGTGTTCAAAGGCCTGCCTTGAGTTCACAAACCAGACCCACGGTGGCTAGGAGATGTTAACTACCTCGCCTGGTGTGCAGGAGGTCGTAGGTTCGATCTAGACCCTGACGCCTGCTGCTGCTGTATATTTGGAGTTTGCGTGTCTCTCTCTGATCATCACCACCACGGTGGCTAGGAAATGTTAACTACCTCGCCTGGTGTGCAGGAGGTCGTGGGTTCGATCCCGATCCTGACAATGCCTGCTGTCTATGTGGAGTCTGCGTCTCTCTCTCTTCCCGTGGTGGTAGCGTGGATTTTTCTCCGAGTCCTCCGTTTTTTCCCCTCCCACATTTAGAATCAACGTCACCACACGAGTTCCTCCGCACCAAGCCCCCGCTGGGCTCCACCTCGCCGCCCGGCCTCCCGTACACCACACTCGGCCACCGCTACCGGCTTACCGTACACGTCCAGCGTGACGCTGGGCTCCACCCTGCCGCCCGGCATCCCGTACACCACACTCGGCCACCGCCACCGGCTTACCGTACACGTCCAGCGTGACGCTGGGCTCCACCTCGCCGCCCGGCATCCCGTACACCACACTCGGCCACCGCTACCGGCTTACCGTACACGTCCAGCGTGACGCTGGGGGCTCTTCACACCTGGCCACTGACGACAGTCGGCCGCCACTGGCACGTACCATAGACGCCCAGCGTGATGTTGGCTTTTCCGTCGTCCGTGGAGAAGTCCCCCATGACCACATTGTACATTCCGATGTCCGACAGGGTGACCCGCTGGAGGAGCAGCGAGCCGTTGGTGTAGATCGCGATACGCCCCTTGTACTCCTCCCGAGTCTGCGGGCCGACAACCCGGCAAGCAAGGGACAACGAGGAGGGGAAGCATGATGGGTGGGGGGGGGGGGGCTGGCGGAGTCGGTGATGGGGGCTCAAAAAAGTCGTCCCAGGCATTTTTCCCCCCCGAATGAAAAAATAATCTAGGTCGAGCAACCAGGGCCTGGGCCGCAGCCTGCGGAGTGCAAGGTACCAGATGTCGTGGCGGCTGCGGTAGTGGTGGGAGTGGTGGTAGTGGCGGCAGTGGTGGTACTGGTGGTAGTGGCGGAGGTGATAGCGGTGGTGGTGGCTATTGTGGTGATGGTGGTGGCGACGGTGGCGGTGGTGGTGGTGGCGCCGGTCGCAGTAGTGGCGGCGGTAGCGGTGGTGGCAGTGGTGGCGGTGGTGGCGGTGGTGGCGGCGGTGGTGGCGGCGGTGGTGGTGGAGTTGTGGTGACGGTTAGGACAGCAGAGCAGGCGGGAATGGTTAAGGAGTGGATGGGGTAGGGGTAGTGGTACGGTGAGGGTCGTGGTAGGTTGGTGATACGGTGAGGGTCGTGGTAGGGTGGTGATACGGTGAGGGTCGTGGTAGGGTGGTGATACGGTGAGGGTAGTGGTAGGGTGGTGATACGGTGAGGGTAGTGGTAGGGTGGTGATACGGTGAGGGTGGTGATACGGTGAGGGTCGTGGTAGGGTGGTGATACGGTGAGGGTAGTGGTAGGGGTTGTAGCTAGGGATCAGGTGTTAGGGTGCAGCAGTAGTGGTCGGGGTAATGGTAGTGATAAGGGGGCAGTGATAGGGGTAGTGATGAGGGGGTAGTGATAGGGGTAGTGATAGCGGTAATGGTAGTGATAGGGGTAATGGTAGTGATGGGGTAGTGATGGGGTAATGATGGGGTAGTGATAGGGATTGTGGTAGTGATAAGGAGGTATTGCTAGGGGTAATGGTAGTGATAGGGGTAGTGATAGCGGTAATGGTAGTGATAGAGGTAATGGTAGTGATGGGGTAGTGATAGGGATTGTGGTAGTGATAAGGAGGTATTGCTAGGGGTAATGGTAGTGATAGTGGTAGTGATAGTGATAGGGGTAGTGATAGGGGTAATGGCAGTGATAGGGGTAGTGATAGGGGTAGCTGTAGTGGGTTCCACGGAGACTGGAGACGTTGTCTGTTAGAGGCAACACGGTTTATTATCATTCTAAACAGTTACTCCCACTATCTAGGGAGGTACGGCCTCCGGGCTGACGTGCCCTCGCACTGGGGCTACGGGCTCTCAGCCCCCCGGCTAACTGTGCCCTAGGGGAGGCTACGCTGACCCGACCCAGCCAAGGTGCGGGTCCTGACCGCTGGTCCGCGCTCGGCCCCGGCCCTCACAAGTACGTCGGGTCCCGGTGGTCGCAGGGTCCTAGCCTAGCTGGTCTTCGGTCTTCGTCTTCAGAGCACTGCCTCGAGCCGTCCTGGCGTCCGTATTTTATACCCGTCCCGGGGACTCTCCGCCCCCTTTCTGGAACCTTCCAGGGGGCTCTTGAAGAACCCCCCCAACCCCTCACCTGGGGTCAGGTGGGGGGGTGGAACTCGGCTTCTCAACGGTCCAGCTCCCTCTGTGTCTCTCTAGCTCAGGGTGGCACCCCCTACAGACCCGTGCCCGCAACTACAGGTAAGTGTACACAGGGCGGTGCGGGCTCTGGATTTCCGACGCTACATAGTGTTAGGGTTTAGGGTAGTGATAGGGGTAGGGGTAGCGATATGGATTATGGTAGGGGTAGTGATTAGGGTTATGGTAGTGATAGCGGGGTAATGGCGAGTGTAATAGTAGTGATAGGGGTAGTGATAGGAGTAGGGGTAGTGATATGGATTATGGTAGGGGTAGTGATTGGGGTTATGGTAGTGATAGCGGGGTAATGGTAGTGATAGGGGTAGTGGTAGAGATTATGGTAGTGATAGCGGGGTAATGGTAGTGATAGGGGTAGTGGTAGAGATTATGGTAGTGATAGGGGGGTAGTGGTAGGAGTTTGGGTAGGCCTGGTCCTAGCTGGTAACACAACCGAAGGTGATAAAGAGGCAGAACTTACAGTGTTAGCGCCTATGTTGTTGGATGGCCATTCGACGATTTGGTTGTTAAACGTCCACGTTATCCTTGTGCTGCCCGAGGAGCCGCTGAAGCTGACGCTGAAGAAGGCGTCTGTCCCAACCATCTGGGACACGCTCGTGGACGCTGTATTCACAATGACGCCCGCCACGGGCCCTGCAAAGCACACGACAAGCACGTGAGAGGCACGTGAGAGAGAAGCACATGAGAAGCACACGAGAAGCACACGAGAAGCACGTGAGAGAGAAGCACACGAGAAGCACGTGAGCAGCACGTGAGAAGCACACGAGCAGCACACGAGCAGCACGTGAGAAGCACGTGAGAAGCACGTGAGAGAGAAGCACACGAGAAGCACGCGAGAAGCACACGAGAAGCACGCGAGAAGCACACGAGAAGCACGTGAGAGAGAAGCACACGAGAAGCACGCGAGAAGCACACGAGAATCACGTGAGAAGCACACGAGAAGCACGTGAGAGAGAAGCACACGAGAAGCACACGAGAAGCACGTGAGAGAGAAGCACGTGAGAAGCACGTGAGAAGCACGTGAGAAGCACGTGAGAAGCACGTGAGAAACAAGTGAGAAGCACGTGAGAAGCACGTGAGAAGCACGTGAGAAGCACAAAACAAATGTGATTTGAATTTTGATTGAAAGCTTTCGTGACTGCAGGGATTCATATTCTTGGTTCTTTCGGGTAATGTCACCGCCACGTAGAAGGGAAACAATAATTTTATTGTTTTATATTTTTATTATTTAATTGTTTCCCTTCTACGCGACTTTACCGAAAGAACCAAGAATGTGATTTTAATTGTTTGGATCAAGTTTAAACCACCTCTACGGGGAGGATTAAAGTTCGTTTTCCCTCTCTCTGTGTCTCTGTTGTCTCTCTCTGCTTGTGTGTCTGTCTCCGTGTCTCCGTGTCTTGTCTCTCTCTCAAATGTCACACTTAACTTCGAGTTTGGCAATCTTTGGAAGCACGTAATCAACCAGGCGATGCGCTACAAGTCCAGTTTAAACAGCAACAAGCGAATGGCCACTTCCGGCAATGATGATCACGATAACGCGGCAGGAGTTGGTTGTCCGGGAGATGTTCAGACACCGAATAGGGGACCCACCGATACTGATCACTGCAAGCCACCACCAGAGTCTGCATTCACCACCAAAGACAAAGATCTACCAGGCCCGTGTAGCCTCAACAGACTTGTAGGGGCAAGTGCTGTTCGCGAGTAGCGCCTATGAGGGCTGGAACGGCACACGAGGAGGGTGGGTGGCCAGCACCGCGCCCGGCCGCCTTTGTCTCCCCCAGTGGCGATGTTTCTAATTTACACCGCGCAATATACTCATTTGAGGCCGAGTCGACCTAGGGGAGGCCCAGGACGGGTTCAGAGAATCGTCACCGGTGGTGGTGGTGGCCGTGAGCGGGAATCGAACTCGGGTGGCCGGGGTTCGTAGCGCGGCGTAGCGCTAACCGCGACCACACCACGGCTCACACACACACACAGTGACACACTCGCAGTGACACACACAGTGACACACTCGCAGTGACACACTCGCAGTGACACACACAGACACACACAGTGACACACTCGCAGTGACACACTCGCAGTGACACACACACAGACACACACACACAGACACACACACAGTGAAACACTCGCAGTGACACACAACAACAACAACAACCGCCATTCGCCACTAAGTGGCGGTGACGACACCACGACGCTTGTGCCAGGCCATGTGCACCATGAGGCCACGTGAAGTGTCGAACGCCCGCTGGCAGGAGGTCACGGGGCAGACCCAGGTGCCACGGGTCGGCTGACTGAGATGACTGGCTGATGCACCACCTGTGCCCCCTACTGTCCCAACCTGCTGTGCCCTAGCCACCCGGTGCTCCACTCGTTGTTGTGAGCGTCGCTCCTCCGCCCTCCGTTGTTGTTGGAGGGCGACTGCCTCCAACTGCCCAGTAGCGTCCTTCACGAGCCTCCAACACAGAGGCCGATCTTGACACCGCTGGTACCAGTCATCGGCAAGTCCACTCAGCTCCACGTCCTCCTGTACCAGATCACTCCATCTCTTCTCTAGCCCGTGCCGCGCCTATTTAGCCACCTCGATCCAGCCGAACAAAAGCTGTTTGGGCATGCGGTGGCTGGGCATGCGGGCTACATGACCCAGCCATCGCAACCTTGCCCGCCGGAGGAGCTCACCGATGGGACCTTGCCCAGATCTTTCTGGTTAAACCCAGGATGAATCGTAGGCAGGCCAGCCTAAATTTTTCTAACCGGCGAAGATGTTCCATTAGGGGGGTCCACGTTTCGCAAGCGTAGAGAAGGGAGGGAATGACCGTGGCCGAGAAGACCTGAAGCTTAGTGCGGAGCGACAGACCAGGTAGCTTCCACACAGCGTTACGCAACCGATGAAAAGATATTGTCGCTCGACTGATTCAGAGTGAGACCTCTGCTGTTAAACTGGAGCTAGTCATAAGCACACTGCCCAGGTATGGGAAACTCTCCACTCTCTCCACAACTGCCCCATCACCGATTGGTAGTTGTGAGGGTGGAGTGTCCGATGGTACAAAATACCCAGGCAGGTGCTTAGTTTTGGTGGGGCTGATGGTAAGGCCCCACCTCTTAGTGGCACGCTCCAGTCTCAGCAGCAGCGTCTCCAACTCCTCCTCTGACTGAGCAGCTATTACCAAATCATCAGCATACATAACGTGGTTAAGCAATAGGGAGCCATCCCTTGACCGCACCCGGGCATCGATCAGCCTCCCATTATATCTGTAACAAATGGAGATTCCCCTGGTACAGCTATTGAAGGCTTCATGAACTACGTGGTCAAAATAGATGTTAAATAATGTGGGAGCCAGAGGACATCCCTGTCACAACCTAAGGTGAACAGAGAATGGCTCCTACTCCCAGCCACGTAGTTTTACCCGGGCCCGCTCACCATCATGAAGGTCCTTAATGATCGTGAGCAGAGGGTCAGGTACTCCAAAAGCACGAAGAACAACCCAAAGCCCAGGCCTACTGATGGTATCATAGGCCTTGACCAGGTCAATAAAGCAGAGATGTAGGTCTTGTTAGAATTCCCTACACCTCTGCTGTAGCAGACGGACAGAAAAGATGGCATCTGTGCAGGACCGCCCTTTCCTGAAACCGCATTGGGGGTCCGCAAGCCTATCCTCAGCGTGCCTGGAAAGGCGATGCTGAATAATCCTTGCCAGGACCTTTCCCGGCACACTAAGGAGTGAGATGCCCCTGTAGTTGTTACAGTCTGTGCGGTCCCCCTTCTTGAAGAAGGGGACCACCAGGGCATCCTTTCAATCGTGCGGAACCCGTCCAGTGGTCCAGACTGTTGTTATGATGTCATGTAGGGCAGTCTGTGCACAAACGCCACCCTCCCTCAGCATTTCGCTTGGGAGATCATCTCTGCCCGCTGCCTTTCCTGGTCTCAGACTCCGGATCGCCTTCAATACTTCCTCAGCAGATGGCACCTCAGCCAGCCACTCACAGGGGATGACTTCTTCCAATATTTGAGGCACCGCAGCCTCAGCAGGGTCATCCCCACTTTGTGCCACGATGCTTTCCTAGCTGAGGGATTTCCCCTCCCCCAGGACCTCACAGAAATGGTCAGCAAATCTGCAAACCTGTTCCTGGGGGTCGGAGATTGCAACACCGTTTTTTCCCCTAATGATGGTAATAGGTGTGGCACTGCAGGTTACTTTTTTGATGGCGTTAAATAGAGATTTGTGAAAGAGGGCCACTGAGGCAGACTCCATCTCCTCAGCAACCCGCGACCACCACCCATCCTTGCAGCGCCTCACGGCTCTCCGAACCTCCGAGCGAAGGCTGCAGTAAGCCTCCTCATTCTCTGACGTGGGATTCTGTAGCTGATGACAGTGGGCCTGTCGCTTTTTCTCAACTATCCTGAACACCTCCTCTGTCAGCCAGGGTGTCTGGGGAGGTCTGGACCGCGTATCCAAAGCAGCCATTTGAGCTGCATGAATCACAGTCCTAAACCTCGCCCATTGACCCTTGACATCAGGAGGAGTGGGGGACGATGCCAACCCCAGCCACAAGCGATGATGAAATTCTCGCTTGCAACTTTCATCAGCTGAGACCAGGCCACTTCAGGTAGAAATGGGGTCCTGGGTGTACACCCTCCACCGGAGTGGAAGAATGGCAGACGCATCTTACAGATGACTAGTCGATGGTCTGAGGGCAGATCAGCTCCACGGTAGGTCATGGTGTCAAGGACATAGGCTCGCATCCGCTGGTCCATCACTATGTAGTCCAGCAGATGTTCTTGCTTGGACCCGGCATGCATCCATGATGTTGTGTGGATGTGCCGATGCCGGAACAGCGTGTTGGTAATTACAAGCCCATGGGCTGCACAAAAATCTAGCAGCCTCCCACCGTTGTTATTAAGCTGATCTGGCCCATGACCTCCAATCACTTAAGACCAGGTGCCAGCATCATGACCAACTCGGGCATTGAAGTCACCCAACAAGATGACACACACACACTGTGACACACACTGTGACACACACAGTCACACACACACAGTCACACACACACTGTGACACACACAGTCACACACACACTGTGACACACACAGTCACACACACACTGTGACACACACACACACTGTGACACAGACACACACTGTGACACACACACACAGTGATATACACACACACAGTGATACACACACACACACTGTGACACTGTGTGACACACACACACTGTGACACACACACAGTGACACACACACACAGTGACACACACACAGTGACACACACACACACTGTGACACACACACACACAGTGATACACACACACACACACTGTGACACTGTGTGACACACACACAGTGACACACACACTGTGACACACACACAGTGACACACACACAGTGACACACACACACAGTGACACACACACACTGTGACACACACACAGTGACACACACACACAGTGACACACACACACTGTGACACACACACACACAGTGACACACACTGTGACACACACACTGTGACACACACACTGTGACACACAAACACACACACTGTGACACACACACACTGTGACACACACACACTGTGACACACACACACAGTGACACACACTGTGACACACTGTGACACACACTGTGA